CTTTATTCAAATTCAATATTAATACAATATAGGAATAAAAATAACTTTTATCATCAATAACTCAAATAGCCGAGTGGTTTAAGGGACCGCATACTCGGTGAAATAACTCTGGAGGCACAAGGTGATGAGGATCGAGTCCAGCTGAAGGCGACGACGAGCAACTCTGAAGCAGAAAAAATGGAGCAGTGCTGGTGGCTGGCTGTTGGCGAGCGCAAAGGGTCCTGAAACGAACACACCAAGTGATGGTCAACCTGAGATCCATGATGCGAGGGGTTACACGCAGAGGGACACATTGCGAACCCAGAAATCTACCCAAAAACCACAACATGCAAAAATAACACCAAAAAAGGAAAAAAATGTGAAAAAAAGCGGAAAAAAGGGAAAAAAAAGGGGAAAGAGGAGGAGGAGGAGGGAGAAGCCTAAAAAAAAAACCCCCTAAGTCCCAGATCAATTTTTCTCTTTTCTGTTCAGCGTTGAAACTTTTTTATGTTTTTTAGTGTTCCCTCACACCAATTCCCAAAGCCAACACTCGAATGAAATCAAGTCCACGTTGAAATTTTCACAACGAGAAAAAATTACTGGGACTTAGTTAAAATAGTTAACTTTGCCCCAATAAAATTTTCTCGTTGTGAAATATTCAATGTGAGCCTCATTCATTCGAATGTTGGCTTTGGGATAATACAGCATGCAAAATTAATTCGTCTGTCTTAATTGAAAAGGTTTCAGAAAATTTGGACTTATAAAAAAAAATTATCTGAAAGGACTTGGACTTAGAAAAAAAAAATTATTCGAATGAATTATAATCAGAAAATTTGGACTTAAAAAAAAAATTATTCGAGAGAATTATTTAATTAATCGATGAAAAAAAATGATATTAATCGAATCAAAACTGTTTATACGACTTGATAAAACATTTGAAACCTTTACAATTAATCGAGACAAAAACAAATTTAGTTGACTTGAATAATATACAAATTATTAGAAAAAGCCATAAAAGAAATTCAATAAAACTTGTAAAATGAAATAAAGAAAAATGTTCGAAAACTTGAACATTAAAAACTTCAAAAGTGTTTAAAGCTGATTGTTATTCTTTAGAAATCGAGTTAAATAATTTTTACAACTTGAATCGAATAATAAACTTGTAAACAGAACTATATTTTGTCTAATCATTCAAGTCAACTCTTTGAAACTTTGATTGCAAGTCTTGATCAAAATTTTTCTTGATAATATAAAAATAAAAATCTATCATTTAGCTATGCAGCAATATAATTGAATAAATTTAAAATAAAATTACAGTAAAAGATTTTTAAAAGCTGCATTCAATTAACAATTTGGTAAGTCGTATTGAGTATTTGAAATATTTTGATCAAAACCAACAATTGTGTTATCCATAAATAAGAATGTACATGCAGTCAATATCGCTACAGGGAAAACACATGATTCTTGATACTGGAAATGTAATTTAAAAAATTGTTTCCGAAGGATAATGAACAAGAGGTGTCACAAAAAAAGAGATTTTTGTAACAAAGTAAATTTGTAATTTGTAATAAAATACCATCAATTTAGGAGTTACCTAAGGAAGAATGCTAGGGCCTCTTAAACAAATGAGTAATCGATGCTTACAAAAAGCTGTATTGGTTAACTAATAATTTGGTAACAAAAATTTAATATACATATAAGAATTCTGAATTCCACACAAAATCAGTTCATAGTGTTATTTATAGAGCAAAAGAATCTCTGGTGGAATATTATTATGGAATTGTAATAATATAAATTACCTTCAATGTCTTTCATACATACGAGAAGTACAAACTTTTATCTTTTATATTGATTTAAAACATTCATAAAATTTTAATTCATAAGTAAATTAAAAAAACTGAATCAACATGTTTTCCCCATAACAAATTAAATAAGAATTTTGTCTTTTACACATATGTCTGCCAAATTAATTTATTGTATTTTACGCATTGAAAAAAGCTACAAATTAATAAAGTTTTCCAAGTTTAACTTGGAATGGAAATTTAAAAAGTTATATTGACTCAAATATAATAATATAAACAATTCTTTCAGCAGATATATGTACATAATTATATGAATGATGCACGAGCCAGAAAATATTTCATAAAATATATACAGACTGCTTATCGGATATCAGATAAATAAAGGACAAGATATCAAAAGACTTTCGAATTTACTTTTTCATACATATATTAATTTAATATTCATTAATATATTAATGCAATATAACCAGCAGTAGATGTAAATAATATCAAAAACAATAATATCTAACACCATTTGAGAATTGGGCAAAACCCTAATAAAATATAAAATATAGTAAAACCTATGAAAATCAAATTTCATTTAATCTAAAATTAGTAAAATCGCCTTGCAATAGCTCAATAAAAGTGATGAAACTAATGCAAAACATAACTAATTTAATATTTATTATTTGAGCCCATACATTCTATCAAAAAAAATCTAGCCTTATCCGAACAATTAGTCAATCAGCCTTAAACAAAGATCCTTTAAATAAATATATATAAATATCTTTTAACTAAAAGCAAGATCGCAAACATAATTCTTTTGCAAAAAATAATGCACAGATCTGGAGGTAGTACAGAAAACTGCTCAGAAGATGAGAATATATTGAAAAAAAAAAATGATCGTGTTGAATAGCGCTTCCTTGTTAATTATGACTAAATCATATTATTCATGATATCTATATTACTTCTTTAAAAAAATTAATAAATGAAACAATATTTAGTAAATAATCATGATACTTAGCATGTTTTTCAAATTCTTGGAACGTAACCCCTCTTTTTGTACTAACTCTTTGTCCCGTATAACACAGATTCGCATAACGGTGCATCAGATAAATGCCTGTATATGATTCCTGAAACCTATTCTTTAACTCGATTTGTAAAAAAAAACATGCTTTGCACTTACATTGTTGTAAATCCTCTGCAGCAGCTCCCAGAATACATAGCCATTACTCGAACCACTTCTGGAGCATCTGCCAGAAATCTCAAGTACTCGACACAAATAACTACTTTAGAACCACTACATAACAATCGACATGTCACAATTGTCTGAGTAAAGTCTTTACACAACACACGACTCATATTAGAGACTTTTGTGAATTTAATTTTCGATTAACAGATATGTGGTGGAAGTGAATAAGTATAACCTACAAGAGCACATATATAAATTATACTATTGATAATTGCATATATATAGATAAAGGATACATTAGCACTGCAAATAAAATGTTTAATTACAAAATTGCTTCCAAATGGGGGCCCTGAAAGAGATACTTTCACATATAGATAAAGGATACATTAGCACTGCAAATAAAATATTTAATTATAATATTGCTTCAAAATGGGAGCCCTGAAAGAGATACTTATAAAACTATTGAAGGTACACCCAAGCACTTCACACATATCCATTTTTTTGACTTTTTATAAACATTTCGCGACGATTTTTTTATATCAGATTGGTCTACTGAATTAATTAAATAATTTGATATCCAATCAAGGATTTAATTAAAAACTCTTAATTAACGCGAGAGCATGTCAATTCACAAAAACATCTTTGACATTTGAACTAACTGATTGAAGTTAGCAAAATGATCGCTGTATCAATCTTGTAAAATTTAAAGCGCGAAATTCAAGCAGAAAGTTTAATCTTTCCGAAAATATTTGTATTCATCAAAATACAAAGTGTTGCTATAAAAAGTATATTTTTTAAAGAATTTTAGAAATAAGTAAGTTACGATTAGAATTGTATATACAATTTTAACTTGCCAGAACATAATTATAATTAACTTAATTAATAAATAATAATATGATTACTATATCAATTACATTTTAAATCTAAAATAATAATGGACATATTGGGACATATATTTCATTGCACAAAAGACAATATAAAGAATATCATATGCAATTAAAGCTAGTCAACATTTACTCTATCGTTTCACTTCTCCTCAAAGATACAAATGTATCTTATAAATATATAAATGTATCTTATAAATAGTATAGTATCTTACTTTTTACATCATTATAATATTCATGTACAGATATGTCATCATTTTTATTTACTTATTCAAAATGTTGATAGATAGTTTCAAATCTATTTTACCTGTAATTGTAACTGTGAAACCACTTACAATACTCTTCTTTTATCTATGTGTGAAACTATAAAAGAACCAGTTAGAGGTAAAGGTAAAAGGAACTACTAAAGTCTGCGTTGGAAGTGGGCCACTGCAATGTTTACACTTACAAGATACTCAGGATCATAGATAAATAAGCATAACGCTCAGGGTAAAAAACTTGGAATCTCCTATAATGGAAAAATGACTTGTAATAATAAATATGTTATAATAACTGGTATATATTATTGTTGGCACAGACTGGGCTTGCTTCATATATATAAATATATATATATATATATATATATATATATATATATATTTGTTTTTTAGCGGAGCAAGTTTTTATTTCTTACTTTTTGTTTAAATAATATACCTCAATTGTAATCATGAGCACTAGTTTAGCAAGACAGTAATTAAAAGCTGTAAAACTAATTATTACTGAGGAACAAGAAATTTTTTCACGTTTTCACAATATATAGATAATATGAATGAATGAGATGTTGAGAAAATATATTTTCTAAACTTTATATTATAATGACTTCTTAACATTAAACAGATGTCCAAATAAAAGTTTTATAAAAAACAGCTAGGCACTCCCTGTAAATAATATACAAAGTATTCAACATATCCATTGTGTTTTTTAACTATAAATTAAATAAAATAATAATATACATATGTATCTTTCACCTAAATATATTTATATGATTACAATTCACTTACACTTGAACTACCTACTTATAATATCATCTATATTATTTTAAAAGCAAATTTAATAAATAATATCACCATTAAAAGCACAAATACATATATTAATCTATCTATAAAATATATATAATCTATTCTATATAATTTTGCTAAAGTTTACGACATTATAAACTCAGTAATAATTTCTGATATCATTTCTGGAGTATTCAAATGTAAATGGTGTGTACCTTGAATTTCATGGTATTCAAATCTTTCTGAACTTTCACGAGTTTTCTCCACCACAGATTGAAAATATTCTGGTTTATCAAATTTCATACCTGGAACTCCACGTATGCACAATACTTTACAAACAATTTTTGATGCAAAAGCTAACACTTGTTCTATAGAAAGCATGCCCATGAGTGATACTTTAAGTCTTAAATCACGAGCAAAATGATAGCCATCTTTATCTTGATTTTGGGAATGTGCCATACCCCTCTTCATTAAAACTTTACAGGATTCCATTGTTATAGATCCTTCATAGGCATCTAAAACTAACTTTAACGATTCATCGTAGTCATAGAATGGTAAACTGCTTTCTGGAATAGTTTCATATTTTAAAAATTTATCAATTGAAGCGCCCAATCGACTTGCAGTGTTATCAACATCTCTAATGGTGGGTCCCAAGATATCAAGACTGATAAAACTATGCACTTCCTCTGGAAAGCTTGCTGCATACATGAAACATAAAGCACCACCCAAAGAATGTCCCATGAGTTTGATATTAGTCCATTTGTTCTGTTTAACAATACGGCGAATCAGAGAAATGCCATCCCAAAATAAATAGTAATGCAACCCTCTTGGATAATGAGATGACAGACCATGGCCAGGTAAATCAATTGCTAAAAATGATAAATTTTTGGGAAGTAATGGGATGAGATTATCAAATGTCCCTGCATTATCCTGCCAACCATGAATACAGAGAATGGGTTGTTGATTTAAGTCGCCCCACCATTTACCTGATATAAGAGTAAAAACTATTATTATAATAATAAATAAAATTTGCACACACACACTCACATATATATATATATATATATATATATATATATATATATATTAATCTATCTATAAAATATATATAATCTATTCCATATAATTTTGCTAAAGTTTACGACATTAACCCAGTAATAATTTCAGGGATAAATTTTGAGGGAAATGATATGATGAAAATTTAATGCAAAATGAAAGAAATGAAAACTAAATTAAATAAAAAATATTAAAAGTATGTGCACATCTCTAATAAATAACAGTCAAAGAACGTTATAGATTGTTAATAAAATTATATAAGAGTTAGTAAGATTAAATTTTACGCTTATGATCAGACAAATCATCTACAGTTTATTATGTTCATATTTAAATAATTTAATTATTCATTCTGCTCACAATATAAAATTCTATATATTAATTGATTGATTGAAGTATTTTAATTAATAGTTTGTTTTATTTAATTATATTTTATATAAATAGTGATGCAATTTTTATGTTAAAGTGATTTTTGGATTTAAAATAAGTTTAGAAAATAATTATCATTAAACAATTGTTTAATATTTAACATATCCAAATAAATATTTTGCAAAAGACATGTCTTTCAAGTAGAATATATAAGTAGAATTTTATATTATGAATGGAATGGATAACGATTATAATTATCTTATTATCAGTGCATTTTAATGTCGAATGCTTTCATATTAAATACTTTATATACTGCAGAACGCACTCTTTAGTAAATAATATATTATTTGCAAAGAGTGTGTTTGATAAATATTATATTATTTGCAAAGAGTGCGTTTGGTAAATAACATATTATTTACAAAGAGTGCGTACTGCAGTATATAAACTATAAAGTATTTAATATGGAAGCATTCGACATTAAATTGCACTGATGATGAGACAATTCACCTAATTTAGTAATTAGATCCTTTATGAGATAATTTAAGAAGTGCAAAAATAAAGCATGTTCAAATTCACAAATATCCATTCCATTCATAATATGTAATTTTACTTATATATTCTACTGAAGTATTGATTGATTGAATGAAGTATTTGTCATTTGTAGGAATTTGTCAAAAAAATGTATTGGGCCTTGAATCTGAACAAAAAGAAAAACTTACATGCAAAACGAATTCAAAATTTGTTTAATATTATATGTATAAGTATATAATTTATTATTCACAAGGAGTTGAATCCGAAACGAAATGAAACTAAAAAAAATAATTAATGTCATAAGAACAATTTAATTGTTTACCTGCAACATGTCCCCAAGGAACTTGAATTAAATGCTCTTTCCATTCTCCCTTAGAAGAATTAGTGCCATTATTCAAATTGGATACTTGACTTTGAGACAACATAGCAAAATCTACAATCATTTAACAATTGTTATGTTACTTACACATTCATAATTATTAAAATTAACACAATTATAATAAGTTTATCATAACGAAATTTGTTCCAATGCTGTTTAGTGAACACACAATAATTTATTTATGATTACTGCATCGAGAAAGAATTGAAGATATATCAAGTATGTAACCTCAACTCAACTCAAATAAATAAATTAAATTACAAGAGAACAATGATTATTTGCATATAAATTGACATTTTAACCCAAAAAATTTTCTTATACATTGTACATTGATTTTAATTTTAATCATTACTCACGTATAGAGGAATCTAGTCCGTTATTTAGGATACTAATTAATTATTTTATTATATTCAATGATTCAACATAACCTATGATGAAAGATTTTGCAAGTTCATTATACTGATATTTAATAAAAAATCAGATAAAAAAATGATATGAGATTACTCATTGAATCAACAATTATCTTTTAAAACTAGTTATGTAATTATATTGGTATACTCTTATATAAATTTCTCAAAATCATCTATTTTCATTTGTCACTTGCAGTGTTATTTATTTAATTTGTATCCTTTTTCATACAATTAATAAAATTCAAGTAAATATTTACATATTTTTATTGTTTTGGTATATTCTTTGGTATTTTGAATTATAGAATAAATGATATAAAAGGATTGAATTGTAAAATAAATGGTATAAAATATTGTAATGACCATTTCATATGTAGAAAATATATATAAATACTTTATATAAAAATTTTGTACGATCTCTCATACTAGGCACTTCTGCCTGTCTGAGATGTATAAAATTTATATTATAATTCAAATAAAAAATAATGATATTAAAATGTTTAGCTGTTAATCGATAGATTTTCATCATATTCATGTATTATATACGTATAAACAGTGCATCATATATTTACATCTATATATGTATATTATATATATACATGTATGATGTATATGTGTGTATATATATATATATATATATATAAATGTATGTATGTGTATTTATATTATATATTTGCAGGTTTACAATGGCTCGATTAACATCCCTAGGCTTTGTAAGTGCTGCATTCGTAGCATTACGCCTTTGCTCTCCGAAGTAAGTAGGTTTCAAAATAAATACTCATATGATAGTCACAATTATTATGAATTTTCAATTAGTGTAGCGACAATGGCAACTACTACCAATCCTGCAGATTACGCCAATGCAAAGTCCATTTATGACTTTTCTGCAAAAAATATTAAAGGAGATACTGTTTCTTTATCAAAATATAAAGGTCATGTGTGTATTATTGTTAATGTTGCCTCACAATGTGGATTAACTGCAAACAATTACAAAGAATTAGGAGAATTGCAAGAAAAATATGGAGAGAGTAAAGGTATTCAAAAGAATTATTCAGATTTTGATTTTTTGTACACTGTATTGTTAAGTGGAAATATGTAACATAACATGTTTTATCTCAATATACATATATTTAACATTTCAAGCATTAATGAAAATCATAATTCAATTATTAAAGAAATTGATTTTATTAGGTTTGAAAATTTTGGCTTTCCCTTGTAATCAATTCCTTAACCAAGAACCGGGTACTCCGGAAGAAATTGTTTGCTTTGCTGCAGAAAGAAATGCTAAATTTGATTTTTTTGAGAAAATTGATGTCAATGGTGATAATGCACATCCCCTATGGAATTATCTTAAACTTAAACAGCCTGGAACTATTGTGAATACTATAAAATGGAATTTCACAAAATTTATTATTGATAAAAATGGACAACCAGTTGAACGGTTTTCACCAAATGTTAGTCCTCTTGAAATGGAGGAGACTTTAAAAAAGTATTTTTAAGTCAAATAATATGAAGAAACAAAATAATACTCTCTGCTCATAATTACTAACGAGCATATAGAACTCAATAAATATAATAGTATACAAAATAAAGTGCAGTAGAACAAAATTTAATTTCAATTGATCAATTAAAAATATATTCAAGAAGTTCAACTTTATATCCAATCTATTAAATTGTATTTAATAGGTTTGGGTGATAGATACATGCAATAAATTTATATATTTGATATGTAATACACTTCATGATATGATACATAAATAATTTTAAAAATATTACGCTAACAACTTACATCCTATTATCTTAAATTTTACATGACACTTTTTGTAGTCAAATCAAACCACTGTCTCAAGGCATCACTGAGTACAGATGGTAAGGAAGAGAGGTCTCGCAGAAATAGATAAAATGGAAATGGAAACACATCCATAGCCCATTGCATTCCTATAAGTTGTTGCTTTTCATTGAACAAAGGAATACGAGTATCAACTAAAGAACACTGAAAACATATTTTTTGCTTAGTCAATCAATTCTTAAAAAATTGGATACATACATATATAAATATTATTATTAATTGTGTAACTGTAAAGTATAAAATACTCACATTGTTTTTCACATTATCCACAATGAGGAATATAATAAATATTTTCGCTTGCCGCAAACGACGCACGGCCTGACGCACTGTTTCCTGGTTTTCACTACTTATACATCCATCACTAACAATAATTAGTAAGTCAGCTGCTTGGCCGGAATTCTCTTCGAACATGATTCCTGCAAAGTCTAGCATTTTCGCAAAGTGAGATTTCTTTTGCTGGAAGGTTAGTTGGTTAATTATTCTTGATCCAGTTTGAGATGTTAATTGTTCTCGGAAAGGGTGAATAATTTTAGGAACTTCACCAAAACTCAAAACAGATAAATCACCCGCTTCAAGTAGAGTGAGAGCTTGTGAAACAAGAGCTACACTTTCACATGCCATTTCGGTTGACTGGTTGCCACTCATTGAGCTATAAATTACAGAAAATCAAATAGATAAATAGATTGGAATAAAGTTATATAGGTAAATAATAGCAATAAATGTTAATGTAGCATATTTTATGTAATAAATTTATAAGAAAAATTATTTTTTCTACTACTTTTAAAAATAAAGTTATCAAATTTGAATATTAGTTTCATGAATTGAACAAATTATGAAAAAATTTAGTAAAAAAAGAAAACAATTACCTTGAATCATCAATAGCAATGATAATCCTGTATTCTCTTTTACTAGGCATGGTTCTTCTTAACCAAATCTTGTCTTTTCTGAATTCACTAGCTACATATGGCACAATCTTTCGCATATTTATTCTACGTCCAGTCCTGTAATCCCCTTTCAGCCTGGCACTTAGTGTTGGTTCCAATATCAGTCTCAATTGTTCACACAATTCACGCGCTTGACTACCAGTGCGCCACCATAATTTTTCCCATTCAGTAGAACCCATGGGCTAAATTTTTAAAAACATTATTTATAATAAAAAAAATATGAGAAAAAAAAAACATAGTTACTATCACAACATCAAAAACTATTCAGAACAACTTGTTTCTTTCTTTGAATAATTTGAACATTCAGACAGTCTTTATATTTTTAGCAGTATTGTAAGTGATTTATGGGAGTGCTCATATAATTAATAATAGATACCATAAATATATTACCTGGTGTTCGTAAGACGCCAAAAGATTTTCTTGTAATCTTCGTTCTATCTCTTCTATTTGAGAAATATCTAAGTTGGTTTCTGAGTGATAATCTTCTTTAATATCCATGCTGCATAAAAACGTGCAAATTAACTATTTACATATATATATATATATATATATATATATATATATATTCAATAGATAAGTCCTGGATTTTTTCAATATATTGATTGTTTCTTTTCCGAACAGTAAATCCAATAATAAAAAACAATTTGTTTTTTGAAGATGTTTAATACGACGTTTCGGAACTAGGTACGTTCCATCATCAGGTTTATTCTGTCAAATACAATGTTTTTTTTTTTTATTAAAAAATATTGATTAACATTAATTAACGATGGTCAATACAGATTAATTAGAAAAAAATTTTTTTATGAAGGAATGGATTATGTACCGGGGTAAAGAGTAATAAGAATTAACTAAAAAAGGTTTTATATAAAATTGAGAAGCAAAAATTATTTACCTGTAATAATTTATATATCCATATCACTAATATTTTTTTGTTAAAAACACTCGATTTTTTTGGAAGATATTTGTAGATGTTACGACTACACAAGACTTAAACACACTGATATGGATTTCTGTCTGCCAGATGTGAAGGACAATTCGGAATTCTTGGCAAAAATGATTTTTTATGGCTCTTGTTTGGTAATTTACGAAAAAAGAGGAAGTATTGCTTTAGTAAATGTTGAGAAATATTATATATATATATATATATATATATATATATATATATACACACACATATATATATATATATACATGCACATGTATATGCACACCCACATACTCATACATACATATGCACATATCTATATATTAATGTATCCACAATTATATACATGAGCATATATGCAAGTGCATGTATATAGTGTACACACAAAAACATACATATAAGCACATATATGGATGTACATATATTATAACATATATACATGTATATATATACATATTCAAAAATTATTAGGATTAATTGTTTTTAAACAGGTTTAAAAAATTTAGATATGAGTCATGAATGATATTGTGATCTGATCTTTTATTAACACTATTTGACGAATTCAAAAAGATTAAACTGCTTTCAGAAAAAAGTCTTTTAAAAGTACAATCCTCTCTACATAAAATATTGGGTTCAAAGGTGAAATTATGTGAGTTTTCGATCGAATGCTGGACAAGAGTACTTTGGAAATTTCGGCTTTTATGATGAGTGACGCTTCAGTTCACACATGAAACACAAATCGACAACAAATTAAACTTTTTAGACGTGACTGTACACAAAATTGACAACATTATTTGCACAAATTGGTACAGAAAAACTACATGGTCAGGAAGATATCTTCATTACGCGTCATATTGTCCCAAAAATTATAAAGTCAATACAATCATTTCTTTGATAGACCACGCAATCATGTTGTCTCACTCTTCTTTTCATACCCAAAACACAACATTAGTAACTAAAACTTTATTAGAAAACGGATATCCCCTCACCCTCATCAATTCCATTACCAATAAAAGACTTTCCTATTATAAAAGTAACAATTATCAATCCATCTCCAAGTTATTCCAAGACAACAATATTAAACCAACCTTTCACAGCATGCCTTACATTGAAGGCTTATTTGATTATTTTGCCAAATTACTCAAAGAAGAAAATATTTCCATTTCAGGAACAGCTCTATATTCTTTTAAAGAAATGTTTTCAAAAATTAAATCCACCACTCCTCCTAAATTCAATACTAACATAGTTTATTCCATCCCTTGCAAAAATTGTCAAAAACAATACATTGGTCAAACATCACAATACATTCATAAGAGAATGAGACAACATGAATTAAGCGTCACTCATCATAAAAGCCGAAATTTCCAAAGTACTCTTGTCCAGCATTCGATCGAAAACTCACATAATTTCACCTTTGAACCCAATATTTTATATAGAGAGGATTGTACTTTTAAAAGACTTTTTTCTGAAAGCAGTTTAATCTTTTTGAATTCGTCAAATAGTGTTAATAAAAGATCAGATCACAATATCATTCATGACTCATATCTAAATTTTTTAAACCTGATTAAAAACAATTAATCCTAATAATTTTTGAATATGTATATATATACATGTATATATGTTATAATATATGTACATCCATATATGTGCTTATATGTATGTTTTTGTGTGTACACTATATACATGCACTTGCATATATGCTCATGTATATAATTGTGGATACATTAATATATAGATATGTGCATATGTATGTATGAGTATGTGGGTGTGCATATACATGTGCATGTATATATATATATATATATATATATATATATGTGTGTATATATATATATATATATACATAATATTTCTCAACATTTACTAAAGCAATACTTCCTCTTTTTTCGTAAATTACCAAACAAGAGCCATAAAAAATCATTTTTGCCAAGAATTCCGAATTGTCCTTCACATCTGGCAGACAGAAATCCATATCAGTGTGTTTAAGTCTTGTGTAGTCGTAACATCTACAAATATCTTCCAAAAAAATCGAGTGTTTTTAACAAAAAAATATTAGTGATATGGATATATAAATTATTACAGGTAAATAATTTTTGCTTCTCAATTTTATATAAAACCTTTTTTAGTTAATTCTTATTACTCTTTACCCCGGTACATAATCCATTCCTTTATAAAAAAATTTTTTTCTAATTAATCTGTATTGACCATCGTTAATTAATGTTAATCAATATTTTTTAAAAAAAACATTGTATTTGACAGAATAAACCTGATGATGGAACGTACCTAGTTCCGAAACGTCGTATTAAACATCTTCAGAAAACAAATTGTTTTTTATTATTGGATTTACTGTTCGGAAAAGAAACAATCAATATATATATATATATATATATATATATATATAATATATATATCACAATATGGTATGTAATATGTGTGATTCAAACTGACCTTGTGCAAAATGTATTTTCAGCAACTCTTTCCACATTGTAGGTCAGAATCTTTTCACCTTCTATTTCTATTTGCTCAGTATCAATTTCTTGATTCATATTATCAACTTTCTTTCTTTGGTTCTGTTCTTTTTTTATTTTATCATTAGAATCTAATTTCTGAGCCTGCAATTCTTCTTGTGTTAGATCCTGTGCTATTTCTGAATCTACATCCATTAGCACATCATCATCCTCAGTTATTTCTTCATTTTTATCATTTTCTTCTAGATCCACTAGATTTGACTGAGCTTGCTGTGATGTTGCAGTATCCATCACCTGCTGCAATTAGAATTTCAATCAATTATATGCATTTCTGCAATCTAAAATAACTTTAAACTTATAATTTGTATTTCATTTAATCTTGCAATATTCCTACCTGCTTATCAGATTCCATAGCATCTTTAATGTGCTTGTACATGTCAGCTTTCTGCATCGATTCATCATTGATACTATCATTTTCATTTTCTTTATCATTTATATCTACTGTTTTAAGATGTTTTTCAAAACTATCTTTATTATCACCTATTTATAAAAATAGAAATATTCTTATTAAATATAAAAATATAATTCAATAAAATAAAAGTGTGTTGATACTATAATAAATCTAGTTGTAAGTAGCATTTTGCTGTAAGGCAAATTGCATGAACTTCCAGATGCGTATACATAATTAACTTCAATAAGAACTAGTGGTGTATGGCATCGTGTCTAAGGCAAATTGCTGAAACTTCCCGTACCATAACGAAATGTTCGAGAAACATTAAATGTTCTCAAATAGATTATTATAAATATTGTAACATTGTCTAATTTTTATAAGAATTATATAAAATGAATTGCAAAGTTGAAATTATTTGTTCAAAGTATATCAGAACTTTAGTCAGAATTAAAATTAAAATCTGAATCATTCAAATCGGACGCTTAGTTCTCTCAAAAACTACAATTTTTTGCACAATTAGCTCTGTATCTTCGAAATGGCTAGACCTGCCTTTGGCAAAAGCTAGGTGATTAGCTTCTCTGAATCATTACAAATTGAATGTTTAGATAGATCATTCAAATCAGATACTCCGTTCTCTCAAAAACTCGATTTGTATTTTCTGCACTCTTTGCTCCGTATCTCCGTAACAACTGGACCTGCCTTTGCCAAAAACTAATCAGCACATCTCCCTATCAATAGGAATCGAGGAACCATTCAAATCGGTTGATCCCTGCACCCTAAAATGTGGGCGAAAAAATGCGGACATACAAAACACACACACACACATTCATTTTCCTTCAAACGCCTTCAAAACGTGAAGATATGCAATTTTTTTTATTTTCGATCTTCGGGCCATTACTATAACTACCCTACGGAAAATTAATTATTCAAATTCAGCTTTTAGGTATGGTTCAACTGTTTATTACGAAAATAAAATTTTCGCTTTCACTGAAACATAATACGATTTTGAATTGATGTCAATATCATCATGTTACAATATAATCTAATTTGTATTTTATAACATTAAAGTGAAAACCTTCATTTAATCAGGAAAGTACATAACACGGAAAGTATATAGATGTTCGGCATAGATCTGATTAGAATCGCTTACGGCAAAATTGTAAATTTTGATGATTTTTTATAAAATAAAAAATTATTCAACATTTATTTACAAACAAACGGCCCGGCCGACCTTTGCCAAAAACTAATCAATCCAATATCCAACCAATATCTTTCAAACAGTTTTTGGTTCAAGATTGTGGGCTAAAATGTGGAAGAAAATTTTCACAAATTTCTACTAGTCGCACAAAACTGAAAAGTACTAACTCCTTATCGGGCTACATCAAACGCCTTGAATTTTTAAAATCGGCCTGGCTATTTTTGTGAAAATGTCGACGAAAAATAAAAAAAACGGCTTACATACATCATACACATATCCTTTACCCAAGTTTGGTCTCATTCAATACTATTAGGAGTATCAAGAAAACAAAATTAGCAAATTGGAAGAAAATGTATAGACAACATCTTTACAACACTCACATTTTCCCATATTGCATTTACCTTGTCATGATTTATTTTTAACTATAGCACAGGAATTAATTTAATGCCATAATATTTACAACATTTTTTTCCTTACCTAAACTACGCTCCTCATTGGCCTGAGACGCTTGATTTTTCAGATTTTTCTGAGCTACTTCTTGTTGTTCTGTGTTCTTACTAGTACGTGTTATATTAGTTTCATTATTTTGTTTTGAACCGCTGTCCACATTTTCTTCTTGTGATTGTCCACCAGAATCTTTGCCTTGGTCAGGATTATCAAACGGTTTTTGATTATCATTGGGCAATTCTTGTGGTTTCATTGATGATGCAGCCTAAATAGAAATTATTTTATTAGATTAATGTTAAATAAAAATATGAGTTTTAAAATTTGGTACCTGATCAATTGAGCACTGCTCATCAGTTTCCATAGGTTCCACTTCTATTTTCTCAGATGGTTGATAATTGGAAGCAGCAGTATCAGTTTTTTGATCCTCAGAATTCTGCTCATCATTTTTGTTATCTTCCATGGGCTCTGGAGTATCTTCTGCATCATATTTCATTTCTGAGCCTTTTGTGGTAGTATCATCATCATCCTTCATTTGATCCTCTTCATCTAAAAAGTGTTTATACTGTATATATATATATATATATATATATATATATATATATATATATATATTGTAGAACTTTGATCAAAGAATCCAAGAAGTAACGTAAAACAAAAGTTTTTTTAAAAAAACATTTCTTTATTTATTTACTGTCGACGTTTTGGACAAATCCCATCTTCAGGACATCTGTCAAGAAACATGATCTTGATAAGATTTAAACAAACAATATATTTAAGTAAAGTAGAAAATAGTGGATTATTTATATAAAATGAATAAAATTGTGGAAGAAATAACATTACAGAAATATGACAATATAATCGAAATGAAAATGATTAAGATAAATGAGTGGTATGTATAACAAAATATTAGAAATTATTATAAATTTATAAACAAAATATTATAAAGTTTTTAAAAAAATTAAGAAAAAGGAGAATTAATTACCAGTATGATTATACAACTAACACTTTTTCACTAAAAACGATTTTATCAGAAAAAGTAATTTTATAAAATTTCTTTTCAGTCGAATAAACTTTAATTCAACTCATTTATTTTAGTATTTCAGTGTATTTACCTTTTTCTTCTGTGTTTTTATCTAATTCACAATCGCCTTCATCATCACTCGAATCCTGCTCTGTTTTCTGATTTGTATCCTCCTCTTGCTTTTCAGTAGATTTTTCATCATTCATCTCTTCATCTGGAGGCTTAATATCTTCTTTTTAAAAAAAAAAAATACAAAAATTTTAACAAATTGAACCTTAAAACTTGCTAATAAATAAGTAACTAGGTGTACATTGCATTTTGCCAGACAAGTTGGGTGAACCTTTCTGATATTAATCTAATCTGAATTAATCTATAACAAAATTATATTTGTAATTGTATTAATTATAACACTCTTGTAACACGCACATGTATGTCTTAAAAACACGGCCGATTAATCCAAACTTTAATGAATTTTTTCGCCATGTTAAGTTTTATTAAAAACTTAAAGAAATTAACATCTAATTATAAAAAAACAGCTTAACCGATCTTTGGCAAAAACTAATTAGCACAAAATGGTATCTTTCAAACGGTTTTTTAGCTTTCAAAATCATTTTTTTTGCGAAGTACGAAAAATTTTGTACCTTCTGCTAATTCTAAAGAAACTGCTTTACCTCTATCATATATATGAAATATATACCTTTCATTGTGTCTACATCAAAGGGATTACTTTCTTCTGCATTTTCTTCCTTGACATCACCCTCATCCAACTGCATATCTTCAGGAAGATCCAAAGCTTCTGTTTCTGGTGGCGGTTTCAAATCACCATGATAAGGATTAATTTGATCATCGTTCACATCAGGTTCTTGCATGTCATCAATTTCTTTCTTCTGCTGCTTAGAATCGGCTTCTAATTGCAAATAATATCAAATGAAATATATGATCTCCAAAAAATGAAACAAAGAAAAACTAGTTGGTATTGGTATTTTGCCTTGAGGCAAGTTACGTGAACTTCCTGATATGTGTAAATAAACGACTTAATCAATAAAAAATAAATTAATTTATGAGTCATTAAAAGTATTCTGAGTGGATTTATTACACATAATTGAAAACGAACAAACACGTTAACTCGGAGTATTTTCTAAAAGCAAATTTTCAAAAATCAATAAATTGTATAATTGAACCATAGGACTTTAATGGTTTAGCATGTTCATTTAGAACAAGTACTCTATCGTTATACCAAGTAAATCGTCTAATTTTAATTTTAACAAACGTCAAAAACTGATATCTGTCGAACAGTTTTTGATTTTTTAAGATCGATTCGGTAGTATGAGCTTAAATGTGGACGAAAAGTTTAACACTTTTTTCCAAATTACAAAGAAACGGTTCGCCAGATTGTCTCACAAAACTGACAAACGATAATCCTCACCGAGATACATCAAATGGTTTTTAAATTTCTGAAATCGGTTCAGGCGTTTTTGAGCAATCGTCGATGAAAGGTCTAATTTTGACAAATGCCAAAAAAACGATACTAATTTTTGCAAACTTTGACCAATTTTTAAAGCTAAATGAGTTGTCGTAGGGCCGTAATATTTCAGTATGATCTAGAAAACTATAGTATCTACCGTCAAAAAAATAATAAAAATCGTCGAAAAAAAAATTTTCAACTCTTTTTACAAGAAAACGGCCCGGCCGATTTCTACCAAAAACTCATCATCACGATTCCCAACCAATATCTTTCGAAAGGCTTTTGAAATTTCAAAATCGATTCAGAACTGCGGACTAAAACGAGGACGAAAAATTTCTCACTTTTCTGCTATTTATAAAGAAACGGTTTGGCTGATCGTCGCGCAAAATTGATAAACGCTAGTCCTCATCGAGGCTTTTAAATTTTTGAAATCGATCCAGTCGTTTTTGAGAAAACGTCGATTGACGGCAAAAAATCTGTTCACATACACACAAAATTATAACATTCTAGATCCTTCCCCCACAAAGTAATGCCTAACGGCAGTTTCCGTGAATACCTGAGGCAAGGGCAAAGCGGAGGTTTTAGTCGGTATTATACCAGGGCGGTATTGAGTCCAACATACCCACACAAAACACCAGTCTGGGATGCATAAAGGCATTTCCTTCGCTATACAAAAAAAAATAATAAACATACACACACATACATAATTTTTCCAAATTCATTCGATTCAGAATGGCTTGAAACGTCGAGAAAACATAAAATTAGCAAATCGGATTCTTTTATGAAAACAAACTTCTCCTTTGAATGAAATACCTTCTTCACCATCGTTATTAGCTTTGGGATCGCGATTGCTAGTGTTAGTGTGATCTTCGTTCTCTTGAACGCCCATTTCCTGTTCTCCAGTATCCTGACCTTCTCCACCTTCTCCCTGCTCCTTACTTTCTTCTTTAGAATTATCATCTTCATCTTCACCCCATATTTGTTGATCCAATCTAAAATAAAGATTATGAAATTGTAAGTATCTAATCAAGTATAAATCCTTTTGTACACATAATCTACAGAATTTACTTACTGTTCTGCTCCATCTTCTGTATCACCCATTTGTTTATCAGCATCATCGCCTTCATCCTCATCACTTCCATTAGACTCATCGTCAGGATTTTGTTTAAGATCTTGAAGTTTACCATCAAAGTCATCCGACATTTCTATACCTTTTTCCTCTTCTTCGCAGTCCTTATCTTCTCTTGGTTCTTGTTCCATACCTTCTTTATGAGCGTCCTCTAATTGATCTTCATTCTCGATTCTTTCGGAAACGTCACGTTCGCCTTCACCATCTGCAAGTCCCATGCCACTTTTGTTCTCTTTTCCATCATCTTGGTCAATTTCGTCGGAGAATTCAGGAGGAGTACAAAATCCCTGAAATAATTCAGACATATCTTTTATATTTATTGACATATATATATATATATATATATATATATAAATATATATATAAGGGTGGTCCTTAAAATGGTCTTGTAACGGATTACATATAATGCTAATTTAGGTTTCCATATTTTAAATTTTAAATTATAACACACTGATGATGAGACAAACCTAGTCCCGAAACGTTTGTGAAAATTTAATAAATTAGTGTAAAAAAGAATGCTGTTTGTTTATATTTCCAAATTAATATATATGTGTATATGATATATATATATATATATATATATATATATATATATATATATATATATATATTGCAAAAATTGCACTTTGTATTGTTAAGAATTTACACTGAAGATAGATATAGTGTTGAAATGTCTATATATATATATATATATATATATATATATATATATATATATATATATATATATATATTAGGGTGGTCCTTAAAATGGTCATTTTCGAATTTCCTTGCTCCCAGGGGCTCAAATGGTTCCAAATAGGTAAAAAACAATTCTCTGAAAGTTTTAGCTCTTAATATTAACGTTTAGATAGAGCGCAATTCAATCAAAGTTTTGTATGGAAATAGCATGGAAAAATCATAAATTTTAAAAATGGTTTTTAGGTGTAATTTAGCAAACTAATGAATAAATAAAACTCATTAATTTGTCGCTAAGTATATATATATATATATATATATATATATATATATATATATTAATTTGGAAATATAAACAAACAGCACTTTTTTTTTACACTAATTTATTAAATAATAATTTTCACAAACGTTTCGGGACTAGGTTTGTCTCATCATCAGTGTGTTATAATTTAAAATTTAAAATATGGAAACCTAAATTAGCATTATGTGTAATCCGTTACAAGTCATTCAATATACAGTATATTGAGTATATTGAACGACTTGTAACGGATTACACATAATGGTAAGTTAGGTTTCCATATTTTAAATTTTAAATATACAGTATATAATTGTAGTATTTAAATATACAGTATTTAAATATACATTATATAATTGAGTATATTGAACAACTTGTAATGGAAAACACATAATGCTAATTTAGGTTTCCATATTTTAAATTTTAAATTATAACACACTGATGATGAGACAAACCTAGTCCGAAACGTTTGTGAAAATTATTATTTAATAAATTAGTGCAAAAAAGAGTGTTGTTTGTTCATATTTCCAAATTAATATCTATTTATCCACTCAGAATACATTTGTTATACATACATATATATATATATATATATATATATATATATATATATATATATATATATTGAATGGTAGAATCTATATATTTATATATATAAATATATATATATATATACGAGGTCTGTTCAAAAAGTACCCGGAATTTTCGTTTTTTCAAAAAAATATTTATTTATTCGTCTACATTAATGTGGTCCCCTTCAAAGTAGTCCCCCCCAGATATAATACACTTATGCCAGCGTTTTTCCAATTTTCGAAGCACCCTTGATATTCACTTTTTAATATGTCCTTGAGCACTCTCAGCGATTTTCTTCAATCGAGGAAAACCGCCGTCCTTTCATGGGTCTCTTCAACTTTGGGAATAGGAAAAAGTCACACGGAGCCATATCTGGTGAATTTTTGCACTTTGCAACACTTTATTTCATTTTTTACGCAAAATTTAATACAAATTCTTTGACTTTTCAATTCTTCCATTGTAAAAATCGCCGAGCTCAGAAAAACACGTCGAACCTTAGCGACTACCACAGACAAAGTAAACAGTGAATATAGCTGAAAATTTCATCATACTTTAGGGGCATGTATACCAACACAATAAAAAAAAAATTTTGACAATCAGACACTCCAGACCCGCGAAATTTAATTATTAGTAATTCCGGGTACTTTTTGAACACACCTCGTATATATATATATATATATATATATATATATATTATATCTACGTATTTATATATATATATATATATATATTTATATCTACATATATATATATATATATATATATATTTATATCTACGTATTTATATATATATATATATATATATATATATATATATATATATAAATTACTAATTCTTACCTTTAATCCTAGCTCACTGAAAATATTCAATAGAATAGACAACATTTTGCAACTTATCCGGTGAGTAGCTACTTGCTGTGTTAAAAAATATTGAGCTAATAAAGCTAATTGTTCCAACATAGGGTTGCATTGAAGTAACAGCGATTTTAACGTTGTATCAAAAATTCCTGACTCGACAAAGGTTACTGCATTTTGTAAAAGATCTTCTACTAGCAAAATTATTTTTTTTACATTCAATAAATTAATATCTTCAACCAAATCACAATGCATTTGCTTTAAATGATTCGTTTCAATATCAGACAGCTTGATACATTTTTCATCAGCTACTGCATCACTTACATTTTCTTGCTGATTCTTTTTTGTCTCACTTGATGTGTGCGATTCATTTCTTTTCAAGTACTTTTTATAAATGCTTTGAAGAGATATTTGTAAAGTATTTATAAGTTTATCAGTATTAGAAGTAAAAACCAATTTCAAATCCTCTGCCAATGTAACCTTATCTTCATTACATTTTGAATCACTATCATATGATAATAATGCTTCAGAAATAGAGTTATGTAAATCATGCACACACAAACACATGGGATGCATATATACATCATTTTCAAATTTTCTAAATATGGCTTCAAGTTCCTTACAGATGCTACGAACATGAATATATCCATTTACAATCACTTGGTATAAGGTTGAACGCTTGAAGCACACAGATTTGAATTTTTTAACATCATGCAGAATTAATGGCATAGTACATTTATGCTTAATCAATAAATTTAATGTTTTTTCGGTATTAGATATGATATTGTTCACAATATCAATTGTATTACACCACAAAATATCTTCTTTACACAATAAAATACTAGAATCATTGAAACAAATATTGTCAAAACTTATTACATCCGAAGTTATACTTTGGTCAAGTTTATCTGAAGGAATTGAATTTAAAGTTATTTTGAATTGCTTCATAGTTGAGATAATATGCACTAATGTATCTTCTAAAGCAGTAAGGTGGGTTTCTAGAAATGATTGTTTAACTGTAAATTCAGTTTCCTCAAGAGATGAAATAAAATCAATTTGACTCCTTAATATGACTAGACTATGTGAGGTAGTGGTTAACAGTTCTTTCTGTGATTGAACTAAGAGTATTGTATCAGCTGCAAATCCTTTGCACCGATCAATATTTTGTATTCCCAAGTCTTGAGCTGGGGATTTCATTACATTCATCAGACCTACATATCTAGCAATTGATCTGAAATAATATTTATCACAACCATCCCAAACAGCGAGTAAAATACCATCACACTTTCTGCTACTCAAGCAGCCCACAAGCACTTCAATATCCATTGGTTTTATTTTAAAGTTTAGCAAGTCATTGCCTTGAATATTAATTTCCAATAGACCACATCTATATGAAAGTCCAATTTGTTGAAGATATTTGAATAAATCGGACAAAGCCTTCCGTTTTTGCTGCAAAATACTCTTAGCTTGTGAAATTTGTTTGTTTTTAGGTAAAGTTGTATTTATTTCTAAATTTCTATAGTGATCACTGGTATCAATAATTTCAGTCAACATAACATCTATTGTTTGCAATTTAGATGGATAATTGCATAATAAAATGCATTCCTTACTAATGTCTCTTGCTTTGTTAAAAACATGCGTCATCTTATTTTCAGTAACTTCAGATACAATGAAACGTTTTAATTTTATGTTAGCAATGTAGTTAAAAGTTTCAGTCATATACTGATACTGGTTGGATTGTCTATGCGGACGATCCCAGGCTCCAACATTATTCTCATTGGATAACATTAAGTTGTCAAATAAACATTTTGTAACTGGTTTTCTTAAAATTTCTTGATATTCTTTAATATGCTTATGCAATGTTCTATGTGTTTTGTCAACACTATCTTTCACAGCCCAATAGCTCAAGTTTTTATCCCAACTTGTAATTTTTACAAATTCGCGCATTTTTTTTTCAATTGGGGTTTTAAATTTTTTTAACTGAGTTTCAACAATAGAAATAAACTGGCTGTAGTATTGATGTAAATTCCAAAGCAAACATAAAAGTTCATCACGTTTATTGCTTGTAGGAAAATATGTTATATGGCAATGGAAAGCTTTCAATATTTGAAGACGTATCTTATATTCTGAAATGCTTGATAGTTCTATAAATTGCTTGAGAGCTTTATTTATTTCTTCTAGTAATTGTGATTCAGAAAAATACTGGTCAATCAAAGCATAAATAAAGAACCAATATTTATATGCAATAGCTTCTTGTCGATGTTGAGCAATATTCAAGCAATCTCTCCAACTATTTAACTCTAATTTTCTCCAGTCAATAATGAGCTGAGCAAGTTCTAAAGCATGAGATTTCAAATTGTTTTCCCTATGCGCATTCTTATTCCATTCTTCAACTTTGTCTCTGAGTAGTTCAATACCAGTTAAGAACCTAGACAATGGACTGTTTACAGAAAAATTTAAAACTCTATTTGTTATGGTAGCAATATCATTTAAAATTGGATGTTCAGGCCAATCTTCTAATTGTTTTTTAACCACATCAAGAATAGCATATAATATTTGATGTGCTCCTCGGGCCCTAGCAATATTGCTATCAGAATAAAAATCATACTGATTACTATGTATTGATTTATATGAACTGTCTTTATTATTTAATTTATCCAACATAACACTAGTTATTGTGTTCAAACTAGCTAGTAATTTAATATCCATATCGGAATTGCAGCCATTAATTGATTCACCTATGATCCTGCTGAAAATCTCATATCTCTCCAACAATGAATCAACATAATTAATGTCTAATTCATGTTTTTTAGGGCACAACCAATCTGTTTTTGTAAAAGCAAACATTAAATCCATGTGAATACTACTAATTAATGTCATATCATCAAATGTTATTAAATCCGTGTTCATATTTGCTTCTTTGTTTTTTTCAGCTACATTATTGAGATTATCTGATTTAAAATCATAAAAATCTAAGCTCAAGAAACTAGGAAAGAATTCTTGAATTTCTTTGCAAGTTCGTTGTTCCTCATCCTCCTCTTGGCATTTAACTTTTGTGACATACAAATTATCTTCATCAATTTTCTTCTGTTCTTTCTCTTGTTCTTGTTTTTGCCATTGGCATACGAGATTTTTAAGTATAATATTTATATATTCCATAAACTTAGGGCTTAAGGAGTTTGAGGCAATGCAGTAATTTTTTATTTCCTTCAATGAATTTAACATTATTATGTAATTATCTCGATTATATCCTATGGTATTCTTGCTATAATTTTTCAGAAGTTTAGAAGTTTTTCCTGATATCAAGTCATTAACAAAACATTTTGAACCAATATTTCCAAACGGAAATTTGATAATATTTGTTAATATTTCATCTTTATCTCTTATAGTGCTCTTCATTTCAAAAATGAGTTTCATCAATGTTTCCTCTAGGCCCTGAACACCTGTTACTAAGTGTGATACTGCATATGATATTGGTTTTATTAAATCTGGATACGACATAAAATTTGTGTTGATATGATTTTTAAAACGAATTTGAGAATATTTCCAAGATGAGATTTCACTCAATAATTGCTTTGCTATATCTAGACCTTTCTCTGAAGTATCATTTTTGTTTACAAAGCATCCATCATATAGCAAAATTTTACATTTTTCGATTTTTCTTAGAAGATCAAACACAAATTCAGATGATGTTATAGTTTTTATAAAATGTTCACAATCTTTACTCAGAGATGAATAATTTAGAACGGGGCGAACAGCTTGAAATTCTGATAGCTTTTGTTCCCGTAATTTTAAATTATTCCATAACTCATAGAGCTTTTTGTGATAATCATGTTTAACATCCAAACTTCCGTTTTTAATATATTCATTTAGTTTTCCAGATAGTATAAAATTTTCTGCAGATAATAATTCTTCTTTAATATATTGTAGTTTGAGTCCATGTTTTTGTATTGAGTCCATTGGACCTAAACTGCAGAATAAAGTGATCTTCAATAGTCCAATAAATATATTTAGCAAACCAACTTGATATATCATTTCAATTTTCCACTCATAATTTTTAAGTTTAATCTTGACTAACTCTTCCAAAGATTTCATTACAATCAGAGATTTATTTATTGCCTGTTTAAAATTATTTTTCTGTTTCAAAATGACATCATTGTGGCCCACAAATAATAAATCCAATTTTCTATTGCACAAATTGACTACTTCAGCAATTTTAAATGGTACTGCTGATAATTTAAGACATGTTGCTAATTCTAAAATTAATAATTTATAGCTATTAATAATATATTGAGCATTCTCTTCCAAAACATTGACATAATTGACCAAGACCATATTATTATATAATAATTTATTAATAGTAGTCAAATGCTGCTTTCTTTCAAGAACTGTGTCTAAGCTATCAAGTTGTTTATTTTTTGGATATATAATATCATTTACTATAGCTATTAATAATGGAGAATGCTTTGCCATGTTTATCATATCTTCTCCTGGATTTTCAACATAAATAGAAGAAACAGTCATCAAAAAGTTCATCTCATATTCATTTATCGAATTAATTGCATTGATTAAATTTGATGAGGTACCAGTGTCATTCACATTTTTCAAATGATGTATAAATTTTGGAGGAATTTGTTTTTTCGTGGATAGCATATCAATTATATAATTGAAACAAGATTTCATAACTAAATTTTCATTAATGGGATTTGTCTGTTCAAATATTGACTTCGATTTTTCTAGGAAATAGGATAGCATATAATTAATTGCATAAAATATATAAAACTCTTGCAGTGTCCACAGCTGTTTTTTGAAATGATGCTTAGGTAACAATTGGTCTTCAACTTTTATGGTATCAATACAGAACTTTTCAATTTTATGCACTATATTAGAAACTAATTCATAATTTTTATTTTTTACTTCAAAATAAGCTTCTACTAATAAATCGTGCATTTTGTAACCATCTTCTTGACATAGTGCTTTTATTCTTGAATTCATAGTAGTGATATGTGATTGATCCATGTGCCACCAGAGGCTAAGCTTCTTATTTAGTTCATCTAATTTAATTAATAAATCAGCTTCATTAAATGATGAATATGGCAACATTTTATACAATTTATTAAATTGTTTTCGTAAGCTCTGTAATGGAGTGCAATCTTTATTAACTGAGCTATTAACTAATGACAGGACAACTCTTAATTGTTCTAAATGTGTGTAGCTTTCACTTTTATTAACATATTTAATTGTTTCAAATGGTTTAAGACACCATTTAAGAAACCATTGATAATGCACAGTAAGTTCTATTATTACACTTTCTATAAAACTCACAGATTTATTTTGTTTATTAATTATAACTGAACTACCAATTCTTTGAAATCTGAATCTCCATTGAACTGCACAGTATAAATCTATCATTTTCTGAGTGCTCAGATTAAAATTGACATCAGAAAGTAGTGTATTGACAAAACTATCAAAGTATTTAAGAAGAACTACATAAAATTTAACTAATGGCAAATTTATTGTATCTGTGAGCTGATTGTGTAAAACTGCATTTGAATATTCATATACAGTAATGGTTTTTGACTTTAAATTAGTCATCCCACTTTTAGTTAATGTGTTTTGTTTTGAGTGTTCAATATTTGTAAGCACAGTGTAATATAGATGTAGAAGAATCTTGTTAGAACTGCTAACATTTAATTTTGTACATGAGAAATTTATACCGTTTCTTCCATCCCAAGGCAAAACCATATCAGCTTGATTCAAGATATTAGACTCTTTAATGATATCGCAAAATGCTCTGTTAATACTTCTGTAAAATGTTGTACTATCTGCATTAATACTAGAATACTTCTTCAAATTTGTCTCCATATAAAAGAATCTACTATTCACATCATCCAAACTTGACATCTGATAGATCTCTATCAATAAGAAATACATAATAATATTCATATCAATATTATTTAAATCACAGCTTGCGGGAAAAATTCGATACAAAAAATTTATTAGTTCTGTCTTATTAAAATTATCCATGCTGCATCGCAGAAGACTAAAAAATAATTCAGATTGCTGCAAAACTAATGATAAGACACAATTTTCACTTAATCTTTGTGAGCTTAGGGTAAAGTTGTTTATGTCCAAAGTATTATCACTGAAACAAATAAAATTATAAAGATTTCTTATTTACTATTCGTAGCATAATATTTGATTCAAGCTTTTATGAAAGTATAATTTTAATTTTATGAACAAGTTACATATGTTTAATTTTACTTACAATTTGTAACTAGCTGATGAATAGTTTTCAATTATATCTTGAATACTGTTTGACAAATTGTTCAAAATCAATGAATTAAGATAATTAGATTTTGATTTTATATATAGATCACAACATGAAGTCATTAATGCAATATTCAGCGGTGTGCCTCTTTTGATTTGCTGGGCAGTAAGAAAACTAGCATCTAACAAATAATGACTATTAGGTTGTTCATACTCTGAAATCAACAAGAAACTTTCATTTAAGCTACATCATATTAATTAATCTCGATTTAGTACACAAAAAATTAGATATAATCTAAAAGCGTATAAAGTACATTGATTTTAAATTTATTTAAAAAATCGATGCCATTCGCGGGTTGATTATAATCAAATATTTTTAAGTTTTCAATTATTTTTAACGTATGTGCAATATTAATATTTGGGTTTTGAAACATTTTACTTATTTATTATGCGATTTATTCTATTGAGCAAATCATGTCAAAGAGAACTAAAAAAAACTAGCTTTTCATTTTCAATTATAACAATTTCATGTTGGATTTTTAAAATTTTAATTTAAATTAATTATTTATTATTTACAATATCCAAAATTGCGTAGATATCGCAAGACCCGCATTGCATTCATCCCTGCTTTCCCATCATATTCAGAGTATGAGATTGTTTCAATTGTGATTGTGATCATTTTGTAACGTATTTTAGAAGTATTGTCCAAAAATCAGTAAAAAATGCTAAGAAATTCCACATTTCTTGTACTATATTGAAAAAAAACTAATTATATTTGATATGTATTATTTCTGCATAGTTAATAATAATTAAATTTAGAGTATGGACACCACAAGATATAAAAAAAGCCTTAAGATTTTCGTTCCAAAGTAAATTTTGCTTCCATTTTTCATATTTGTTCCAGTTCCATAATCTTAACCACGCATGTCTTCAACATTCAAAGTTCATCAGATAAAAAACATTTGCAACAAAAACAAAAGTTACAATTCAATTTCTGACTCCCCATTTTTCATTTTTTCGATTATAATTTGTTTATATTTTTTAAAAAATTCCGTTTCAACAAAATCAGCTCGCAATTTTTCGTCAATAATGCCCAATAATTAATTAAATCTTTCGCAGGTTTGCGCTTACGGGATTGAACACTAGATAATTTCTTTTTTTT